CGACTTTGCCTTTTTGCTCTGCCCTTCGGATTTGTTTGCCTTATTTCGGATTACTGTTTTTGACCCATTGCCTGTATCTCTGACCACACTGTTGCCTACCCCCTTTTTGGACTGGATGTATTGTCAAATGTATGTTTGTTTGTACTTCCTATGCCTTTTGGATTCAAACCCTGCCTGTTTTGTGACAACGACTTTAAACTGTGATTCTCTCAGTAAAGCCCCTTCTGTATTTTACATCTGCGAGCGTCTGAATCTGCTTGGCACGCTACATTAGGAGTCTAATTTTTTGTATATTTTAATCATTTTTGGACTCCAGTTTTGAAAACTCCTGTTATTTTGACTTTCCCCTTCTTTATACAAGTGTATTATCAACTTGTACTTAATGGCTTTTTTGACTGGAAATGAAATAAATGAAGGGTGGTCTCTGACTTTTGCACAGCACTGAATACTGAAACATAGCAAATTAATGCACTTGTGAAAACTCACACTTTCATGTAGCGATGCACGTCACTAGGCAGGGCCTCTCGGTCAAAGTGGAAGTTCTCAGCCACAATGTTCAGCGTCAGACGGGAGCGCCAGTGGGACACAGGACGGTCCAGCTTGTCGTCAACACCCATGCTTGGGTTCTGCTGTTGCTAAGTGACACAGATTCTTAAGCAGTCACAATTTGTTGGCTACAAAACATTGTGCAGATGTTACAGAGAGTTTACTGTTTACTAGTTATAGAGCACATTCTAGGACAGGTGTCTTGTGAACTGCTGGTACAACGTTGACCAAAATGAATCCCTGCTCCCTCACTAGTACTGCACTATACACTGACTGGCCACTTCATTAAGTATATCTTGTTTCTACACTCACTGTCCACTCCACTTACTATATAGGAGCACCTTTTACCCTGTTCTTCAGTGGTCAGGACCCCCACAGAGCAGGTATTATTTGGGTGGTGGATCATTCTCAGCACTGCAGTAACACTGACGTGGTGGTGGTGTGTTAGTGTGTGTTGTGCTGGTCCGAGTGGATCAGACACAGCAGTGCTGCTGGAGTTTTTAAACACTGTGTCCACTCACTGTCCACTCTATTAGACACTCCTACCTTGTCAGTCCACCTTGTAGATGTAAAGTCAGAGACGATAGCCCATCTGCTGCTGCACAGTTTGTGTTGGTCATCCTCTAGTCCTTCATCAGTGGTCACAGGACGCTGTTGGCTTGGTTGGTGGACTATTCTCAGTCCAGCAGTGACACTGAGGTGTTTAAAAACTCCAGCAGCACTGCTGTGTCTGATCCACTCAGACCAGCGCAACACACAGTAACACACCACCACCACGTCAGTGTTACTGCAGTGCTGAGAATGATCCACCACCCAAATAGTACCTGCTCTGTGTCTCTAATACCTCTATAATTTTAAATAAAATGAGCCCTCACTGTGTAAGCGTGGTGTACGTCTACTCTACCTTATGAACATCCCTGCAAATACAAATATTTCCAATGAATCTAATTCCCCCCAAAGCCACTGTTTAGAGTGCACATGCAAAAGCGCGTCTCACCTGAGGCTCATCCTCGCCTGTGATCAGGCTGACCTCTGGAGGTTTGGGCAGCATGTAGGTGGTGAGCTGTGTCACCAAATGCACCTGCCGAGGATCCTGCCACGGCGACATTCCTGGCTGGTGCACGAACACCATGGCGTACAGAGTTCCATTTTTCCGCGTCTTCTTAGGCAAAGACACATTTATCAACCTTCAGAACGAGAAGAGAAGCACGTCAACTCTCCAGAGTCTACCAGCAACATTAAGCAGCAGTACGAACAATGTAACCGTGCTGCGTTTAACAACAGCAGGTGCTGTGTGACCTGACGTCCCACCACTAAAGGACCGAAGCGCATTAACTTACCTCTCAAACCTGGTGTGCACATCGAAAGCCTCCTCTCTGTGGATGAGACTGTGGCCACCATCACCGTTGGGCCGCAGTGCAGTGTAGATACTCAGCTACATCGAGAGGCAGAAACAGAAAAGATTCAAATGCCAAGATGTTTCCCAGCATATTAATACAGAAGCCCAATCCCGCCAGATAGAGGAGGATATAAACATCATCCAGCAATTTTTTCTCCTTCTCTGTTTGTGGCAGCAGACCATCAAAATTTTGACTTAGTATTTCTAAATAATAAATCATTTTCTTAAATTTTTGCGTGTATACAAACGAAGACTGGCTATGACAACAAAAAATGATTTATTTCCTCAAAATTTTGACAAACTATGCCAAAATAATGTCTCACAATCATATAACTTTTGAACACTGACAGTGAAAGAGTAATTGTGCACTAAAATGTGCAGTAGTGTGTTCTCTGTAGATGATGGGTTCACTTATTTCCTCTTAGAACATTTAGAAGAGCAGCCTAAACTTTTGAATATGAGCTTATTAGCTCAAAATTTTGACTTAGGTTGAGAGAATTGCTTAATTTCTCAAAATAATGACTTATTATGCAAAAATGGTAGTATTTTCTTGGAATAGTGACTTACTATTTTAAAAATTAGACTTTTTTTGCTCCAGATAATAACTTAAAATATCGCTATTTTGGGGGCAGTCGTGGGCTGGAGGTTAGGGAACCAGCCTTGTGACCAGTAGGTCACCGGTTCAATCCCCTTGGCTGACAGTACGTGACTGAAGTGCCCTTGAGCAAGGCACCCAACCCCCAACTGCTCCCCAGGCGCCGTGGATAGGGCTGCCCACTGCCCCGGGCAAGTGTGCTCACTGCCCTCCAGTGTGTGTGTGTTCACTAGTGTGTATGTGGTGTTTCACTGCACGGATGGGTTAAATGCGGAGGTCTAATTCCGATGTGTTCAGACACAGATGGCTACCTGGGGTGCCCAAACTTACGCACACCACTGTATTTTCTCAAAATGATGACTTATTTTCTTGGAATATTGACTTAATATTTTGACATAATCTCATCTCAAGATAATAACTTACTTATACTTATATAATGAGGTAATAACTCATTATTTTGACATAGACTGTGAGAAATGTGTCTCAATAATAATAATATTAATAAGAAGAATTATTTCAAGAAACCAAGTCAAAGTTTCAAGAAAATAAGTCGTTATTTCAAGACAAAATTATACATACAGCCAGAAACAAAGGCTAAAAAAAAAAAATATATATATACAAACTTTAAAAAGATGGTTCTTCAAGGGTTCTTTAAAGACAAAGGCAATGGTTATGTTTAGAACCATGAGTTCTATATAGGACCATTTCATGCCTAAATGATATTTGGTGACGTGGTGAAATGGTTCTTCAGATTAGTGCATAATCAAGAATATTGTGAGTGGGTTTTTTTGAAAAAGATTCTGTAGAGAACTAAAAAGGGTTCTGCTGTTGTTACGATGTCAAGCTTGTACACAACAGAAGAACCCTTTTGGTGCTATACAGAACCACGTACAACACATTCTCAACCAATCAACCAATCTAAAGAAGCATTTCACCATGCAAAGAACCATTTGCACATGAAATGGCTCTATATAGAACTCATGGCACACACACACACATATATATCTATAAATATATTAATACATATATATATATATATACACATACACACACACACACATATATTTATATACACACACACACACACACACACACACACACACACACATACATTATATATATATATATATATATATATATATATATATATATATATATATATATATAAAATACATGGCCTTTGACACTGTGCTCACCTGCAGTGGAGGGTTTGAAGCCAGGTAAGGGCTGATGCACTTGTCGCTTCTGGGATTTTCGCAGGGTTTAGTGTAAACTATACCATACATGACCCAGCAGGTGTGGAGGACGTAGACGATGAAGACCCCCACTATGAGGGTGGTGAAGGAGGTCTTCTGAAACATGCTGTTTTAGCTCTTTAAGCTGGCTAACTAGGACTCGTGCCGATATCTGACTCTATTGAGCAGCAGAGGAACGGCATGAGGCAATACTGGTCGCTGTCAGTTCGTACTGTACACAGAAAACAGAGACAGCCGAGCCGCGTTAACCGACATACTCCCCAACCGCCGGACCGTCAGCTGGACACAGCCAGATCCTCAGGACGGCGCTAGCATACCAACCGGATTTCACTCAGATCCGCTCTCATCTCACCAGTAAGCGTCTCCGGATCGCGCTGATAAACCCGCAGGACCTACAAACCTCACAAATCCCCTCGATTTAACATCGCCGTTTGGTCAGAACTGGAGATTTCACAACCTGCGAGTCTTCCTTCCGCGAGTGAGTTCCTGGGTTGCCAGATTGCTCCATTTATGACTCTCTTTAAAGGGGAATCCAACCATTTTTTTTAATTTCTGCACAATTCAATCGCTGAAACGTGAACAAAGTCATTCCGAGCGGTTTCATGTGAAGTGGTTACTTGTAGATAAACCTACAGACGTCTTTATAGAGACTCCTACAGATTTCTTTGCGGTGGTGCTGACAGGAACCAGAAGAGCAGATGCGGACATTTTACTACACGTGCCTTCTGGGTTTCCATATGTAATGATGATGACGGTAAAATAGTGGTAAATGTAAAATTTTAAGTCAAAATCTTGTTGCAAAACTATAATAAAACAACGTCTCAGACGCCAGGCAGAGTATTCATAACCATTTCATGCAACTTCCTGTGAGGGAGCTTTTAGAGGCAGTAAACTCTTCAGACGTCTGGTGTCTATCACCACCACTGTGAATAATAATAATAATAATAATAATAATAATGCATATCATTATGATAACCAGACATCAAAGTATTCCTAATATGTTGCAAAGCTCCATATATCTGAGGAAAGCATAAGTCCTCTTATCATGCATCATTTCAAAGGATGCTCTGTTTTTATTTTAAACACTGACATTTTCGGAATTTATTTTGAAAACTGGTTTTCACGGTTAGAATGTTTTGCGGACAGTGGGTGAATTTCGTGGCGCTGGCAACGAACCTGCTACGTTGAACGTGAATGAGGTTCTTGCACCGGAAACAGTCGTCAGTGTTTGAGTAGCGTTTGAATAACGTTCGTCGTTTGCGCTACAATTTTTTCTCACTCAGGTGGAGGATTTTCTGTCGAAATCCACCGCCAACATGAAACTCGTCAGGTAAGTCGTTTGTAGACGATTAGATTAAGCATATTCGGCGATCAGCTGCGCGAAATCGAGCCCCGTTGTGACGGATGGCGTTAGATTTAACGTAGCGGCTAGGAAGCTAACGGGCTAACTTGCAGTGGAGGCGGGAAGGAATGAATGGGAGAAATCGCTGCTCCTGTATTAAAAACTGAGACGCCAAACAAGAGGAAATTCCCTTATTAAGGGCCTGAATTTGTGCGTAAATCTAGCGGGGCTCGTTTAAACGCGGTTACAGTAACTAAACTGGGTAATCTGGGTAGCGTTATCTCGCTAGCTGTTCAACACGGCGGCCCAAAACGGCTGAAAGGTCCAGGTCCAAGACAAAAACCGCTGAGGCAGTTAAGGTAGCGCGGTAGAGTTCAAGTGAAAGTACTGCACATTATGTATGGTAATTTGGCCGTGCATATTCCGTATTATATACCTTTGACCTTTATTCAGGTTGAAGTTTAGGACAGCTTTGTTTACGGAGCTGAAGTTGGTTGCTTATGCGCCGCCTTCTTGTTCGAATTTCCCGGTCCACCTTAAATGGTGCAGCAGTTACATGCTGGCGCCTCCGTTTAAGGTGGAACGGGAAATTCGAAAAAGCAGCTCACTTAAGCCTTGTGCTTTGTTTAGCGACCGTTTTTCTATATCTTTGAGCGTTTGTCACTGCACATTCAGAAATGAACCCAAGGGGAAATCCACCAAATTCTCAAAATTTCTGAATAATTCAGTCATTGAGATGTAAACGTTCATTCCGAGTGGTTTGGTGTGAAATGATTAATCTGCAGTAAAACATATCACATCAGATTTCTTTATAGTAGTGGTGATAAGAACCAGGGGTCGCCATGTCTGCAACACACACAGTCATTTTATTTACTGTCCAAAACCACCAGTGAACCTACACGTGTCTTCTGAGATTGTATATGTAATGTTGATGGTGGTAAAATAGTATTAAATCAGAAAAAGTCCATTTTCTGTCGGGACTGTTTTGCCTCACAATCCTAGATGAATCCTCCGCCATGAATGGCTTTAAAAATATGTTTTAAGCCAAATCCTTATCTCAGATCTTTAGTTTTATACCAGGCAGCATGTTTGTAACCATATAATGTAATAACTTCTATGAAAGAGCTTTTGGAGGTGGATGTCTGGTTCCTGTCACCACCACCATGAACAAAAGAGCATTTCACATAAAATCACTCTGAATGACTGTTTACATCTTAACCATGTAATTATGTACAAATTTTGAAAAATCTTGGAATTCCCATTTAAGTTACCCAAAAGTGAACCCAAGGAACAGCTTGAGAGGCCTGGAACCTCCATAACAACCGCAGTTAATGGTTTAATTGTGCTTTTGGTCATTTGTATGCCACTGAAAGCATCTGTGTTGAATAAGCTGTGCTTGCTAGTTAAATTAACTTATTAGCTACATTAGGTTGAAATATACTGACTTGTTCTGCAGTCACAGATTTACAAATGTCTACAGTTACATACACCATCACTTGTAGAGTCCATTCAGTGTGTGTATTTTTATGTCTGATGTGAAAAATTAGCTTTTGCCACCTTAAACTCTTCACAAAGTGGTATTTCTACAATACACCATTACAGTTTACATTCTGGTTAGTCTTATTGGTGATGTACTAGTTCTGACTTGTGTCTCTGATTTTATTGTTCAGGTTTTTGATGAAACTCAGCCATGAAACGGTTACCATTGAGTTGAAGAATGGCACCCAGGTCCATGGCACCATCACAGGTGAGATTAAAGTTTTCAGTTAAGCATAAACCATTATGAAAGCTTTAATTTTTTCTCAGAGCATTACGAGTGTATTGCTCATTTCTTTATGTGAAATTAGTCTGGTTATTGCAGGTTTGCAGAATCGTACGCTTAAAAATTATGGTTCCTCAAGGGTTTTTAGTAAAGAAAATGGTTCTGTATAGAATCGCGAACATTCAAAGAACCATTTGCATGATTAAAGGGTTCTTTGCATCATGAAAGGGTTTGTCAGATTGATGAAGAATGTGCTGTAGATGGTTCTATATAGAGCCTTTTTGAAAAGGGTTCTTCTATTGTTACAATGTCAGACTTACAATAGAAGAACGCTTTTCAAAAAGGTTCTGTACCGAACCATCTACAGCACATTCTCCATCAATCTGAAGAACTCTTTCACGATGAAAAGAAACCTTTAATCCTGCAAAGGGTTCTTTGAATGACTGTGGTTCTATATAACTGTTTTCTTTACTAAAGAACCCTTGAAGAACCATCATTAAGTGTGTAGGTTATGCTTTAAGCTGAAGAGAAAAGAGTAATACACTGTGGTTTCATTAATTCATGACTTTAAATTTCACTGCAAACCTTGTCTAGAAAACAGAACTGATGATGTTTATTGCTGTTTATTTATGTATCAGGTGTGGATGTCAGTATGAATACCCACCTTAAAGCTGTTAAGATGACCCTGAAAAACAGAGAGCCCACCCAGCTCGAGTCGCTGAGTATCCGTGGCAACAACATCCGCTATTTCATCCTGCCTGACAGTCTTCCTCTTGATACCCTGCTGGTGGACATAGAGCCCAAAGTCAAGTCAAGGAAGAGGGAGGCTGGTAAGTGCAGCCGTTGTGGGTAAGGGGAGGAGATCAGTGGTGTTATGTCTAAAGATGCTCAACAAGAACTGAAGTGTGTTAAATGACACCACATTGTAGGCAGGTGGGCAGAGAGATTTAAGGCCATGCTGTTGATCTCAGTCTTGTCCAGCAGTTGGTCAAACCTTAAGTTGTACCTTATTAATCTGCTTCCAAGGGAAATTGGTAACTTCTTTGCCTAAGCATGTCCATTCTGGGAGCAGTACAGCATCATCAGCAGAGCAGTCCTGCCTGGGGCAGTGGGGGGTTAAATGCCTTGTCCAGAGACACAACATTCTGGTTGCTCATCTCTTACCACTAGGCTACACTTGAAGATATAGCTTTTTACTTACTGATTTTGGTGTTTCCATTTTTTTGATGGTTGTTTGGGTGTTATATACAGACCTAGATAAAGGCTGCTGATGACTTAGTAATCAGTATATAGATTGTTTAAAATTATCTATAATTAATTTTATAACACAAAGCGATAGAACAGTGTGTTCTTAGACTTTACCTGTAGAGTTTAATTGCATTTCCAACAATGCATTAAAACAAGTGGGATTTTTAGTAACTGTAATGGCTAAATAAAGCCGGTTTGTAACCTTTGCACAGAACATCTCAAGTGCAATATGAACATTAATCATCTTTCTGGACATCACATCACATTAATTTCCTAAAAATCTTGGAAAATAAAATCAAGTAGCTTGTCAATTATGGCCCAACGGTTTTGTGACAGACAGCAAATAATATTGACCAATAAAATGTAACTTATATATATATTTAATTTTATAATTCAGTAGTTTTAGTTAAATATGACTGAGAGTTGTCATTTGTCATTGTGAAATATGTTCTCAATTGTCATATTTCTTAAAGGATCAGTTTGTAAGATTTACAGGGGTCTGTTAGCATAAAAGGAATACAGTATACGAAACCATGCTCTCATGAGTTCATAATCACCTATAATTATGAATCTTTGTGTTTTCGTTAGCTTAGAACAAGCCCTTAAGATCTATAAGGGAGCGGATCCTCTTCCAGCATGTTGGAAGGTTTGAGTTTCAAACTACAGAACACAATGGTTAGCCAGCATCGGGAGCAAACGTTTTGTGTCCTAAAGTTTGAGAACGCAAACTTTGACAAATGGAGGATATTTAATATTTAGGACTAGAAAAAGCAAGCAAGGGTGAATCCTTGTTGTCAAAGTAGCAAAAACATGAAGAAGCAAAATGAAATCAGGACAGGCGACAACAGAAAACCTGACGCCCACCGTAGGTTCTACTACACGCTTGGAGAAGGAGGGCTGAGGGAGGTGAATTCCCTTGTTGCAATCTGCCAATTCCCAGTAATTGCCACTAAATATTACGCACTTCTCCTTTAAACTTGCATGGCAAAGTTTCATTCGTAAGGAATATTAATATTGTAGCACTGGGGGCGAAGTCCAGATCCAGATTTTTTTTTTTCTTCATGTTTCAAATCTTTCTGTTATAACATTCGAACCATGATGGCGTTCACCAGTTCAGCCTGTACCGTTGTCCTATAGGTTAAAAAAGAGCGTTCCTTTTGGGTTCCTCACCCGTCTGTGGGTTCTCACTAGTGCCAGGAGATTGTGTGTTCGATTCACAGTGATGGCATGACTGAAAAAGACACTGGTCATTAGTGGTATTTTCATTAGATATCGATTAAGAATGCAGGTTTTTAATATCAGTCGATGTTATAGGTAGCATTATTGTTTCTGAGTATGTAGCTGCCCTACATATATTGCTACATTGATAACCTTTGTTGAACACACGTCTTATGCTGTAGGTGTCAGTTGATACAGCTCAGTGTTAATGTACAGATGAATCCGTCAAGGGCCCCAGTGTCCTGCAAGATATTTGTAAAAAGCAAAAATTGACACCTAACTCTGATAAATTGTTATTGGAAGAGGAGGCGCTATTACTGGAGCAGTTATAAAGATTCAGATTGTGTTGTGCAGAGTTGAAACGCAGTAAGGTGGTGCATGGACAAAGTATAAATGCTGTACGCATTATCTTGAGCCATAAAAGTCTAATCCAAAAAATTCAGTATTTTCAGTGTTTCACATGCTGTGCTGCATTTAATGTCTAGCTTAAGTGTGGTATTGTAACAGCAGGTCAGTACCGCACCGTCTGGTTGAACTGAGCACTCTGTACTTTTTGCAGTGGCTGGCCGTGGCCGAGGAAGAGGAAGGGGCCGTGGCCGAGGAAGAGGACGTGGAAGAGGCGGACCAAGGAGATGAATCTCTTAAGCCACTCTGCTTTCTGCTGTTTGTACAGGACTCTTTGTTGTTGGAGAATATTGATTGTTTTTTCTTTTTGTACATTAAACTTTTCTCTTTTGGAAGGTATTATTTTGTCCTGTGTTAATTGATTAATTGTAGTAATGCAGTTGCATCTAATTATGTTCTGAAAAGTGTGCCAAGGCTTTTTTGCTTTTGTTTAATAAATCGCAAGTTAGAAAAGTCTTGGTGCAAACGGCTGTAATGTAACACAAGTCGCTAAATTGGTGTGGCCATGATTAAAATGTGACCTGCCATATTTCATATTCAGTTTTGCTGTTAAATGTCAGCAGTTGTTAATCAAAAAACATGTTCAAAAGTATTCAGACTACAGCTGCTTTCAGGCGCACCCATTGCTGACAGGAGCATTTAATTGCATGCATACAGATTGTACAACCTCTGTAGACAAGCACCTTCCAATACTTTTGGCTTGAGTTAGAGTGGCCTTTATAACACAGAATCATCCAACATGAGTTCCTGACCTCACTAATGCTCTTGTGGCTCAATATAATCAGATACTCGCAGCCATGTTCCAACATCTACTGTAGAGTTTTCCCAGAACACTAGGGTCTGTTACTGCAGCAAAGAGGGACAAACTTTCTATTCATATCCTTAATTTCAGAAGAAATTTTGGATAAGCAAGGTGTCCACAAACTTTTAGAGCCAATTTTTATTCAAAATGGGAAATATATGCTTGTGATGAGTAGTCATAGTTTATGGGTAAGACATAAATAAATCAATATTAGTATTAATAGTGTTTAAGACTTTGATTGTTTTAGGGTGTATGTGAGTCAAAGGAAACGTTTACAAAAACAAGCTCTCGCGGCAGTTTTGGGTTGGAACCATAGATACACATACCTAGATACCGCGTTGGGTCCAGCCAGGCACGTCAACGGCGCCGCCATTTTAGGGCGGTCAATATCGCTGCTGGACAGCATTCAGCACCATTACAGAGCGGCAGGTTAAGAAATATACTGTCCAGAATTGCACTGTTTCAAGAATATTGCTCTCAGAAAGCGGGATAGGATTATATAACGGAAGGAACGCAGCGGTCCACGCTCATGTTTGTTTTCCCGTTCCACCTTAATTGCTGCTGCACCATTTAAGGTGGAGCGGGAAAACTCGAAAAAAGCTGGCAAACAGGAAGCCAACTTTAGCTTTGTCCTTTTTAGTGGGGTTTTTTTTTGGTTCTTTTATTTTCATGTGTATTAAGATTAGAAGTGATTCACACACTAATGGATTTGCTGAATACTTTCCTGCTGGTCCGGACGGCTAATTAGCACGATCAGTTATTAAAGAAAGCCTAGATTAATCCGTGTCTGAGGATTATAACAAAAAGAGTTTGGTGAAAATCAGTTGAATAAAAAGGAAGTTGTGGCCGATTTAATCCTGAGAACTCATCATCTCTCAATCTTGACCGCTCCAACATGGCGGACGCGCAGACGTATCGCCTCAGATAGAGAACAGACAACGCGGCATCCAGGTATGTATATCTATGGTTGTAACTAAATAAAAATAAAACTAGTTGTAACAGTACAACGTCTTCTTATGATCTGGAGATTATTATAAGAAAAGGTTTGGAAAGGACTTCATTGTTGTTTTCTTATTTTCATTTGTATTTTCACTTTTTTACTACGAATAACTCGGAACATTAAACGCGGTTATGTCAGAGCCGGTTTATGAGAGGCCGCTTCCTATTCCCCCCGTTACGTCAAAAACAGGACTGCTGAACAGCAGAGGGCGCCCGCGAGCGAGTCCTCAATGAATGGGAGTAAATGGAGCTCAACGGCTAAAAACGAAAACTTAAAATAGTTTCTAATCACTGAACCAGAACTTTCCTTTAATTTTAGAAAGTAGAAGGATGGATTTCACTAAAACAACAAAGAAATCTCACCTGTATGTTTCCTTTTTTCCACAGTAAACGGGTTTTGGGCAGAAGGAGGCGGGCTTTACTGCTAGAGCGTGATGATTGATTGGCGAGCGGAGCAGCTCATTGGCTGTTCGCGCTCACTGACGTCATGAACGTACATGAGGCGCCGTTTTAAACTCCTATAACTCGAGTTTAAAAGCTCTTAAAAATTTAACAGCAGTGTTCAAATGTTTTATGATATTCAGTGTTCAGGAAATGACTGCATTCTTTTATATTAAAAATGTTTCAGCATTTATAAACTATGATTTTGCTCAAATGCTCCATATCAACCCATTCATTTTGGACTCACTCGGGAACGCCCTCTAGCGTTTGAGAAACCCGGAAGAATTCTCCTCTCTACAAGTTCTCTGGAATTTTCACTCTGGAATGTCTTTTGGTTTTCTCAAACGCTAGAGGGCGCTCGAGAGTGAGTCCAAAACGAATGGGATCATATGGAGCATTTGAGCAAAATCATAGTTTATAAATGCTTATATTATATATTATATTATATTTTATATTACATAATATAAAAGAATGGAATCATTTCCTGAACACAGAACAGCATAAAACATTTTAACACCGCTGTTATATTTTTAAGAACTTTTAAACTCGAGTTTAAAACGGCGCCTCATGTACGTTCATGACGTCAGTGAGCGCGAACAGCCAATGAGCTGCTCCGCTCGCCAATCAATCATCACGCTCTAGCAGTAAAGCCCGCCTTCTGCTGCCCAAAACCGGTTTGCTGTACAAAAAAGGAAACATACAGGTGATATTTCTTTGTTGTTTTAGTGAAATACATCCTTCCACTCTCTAAAGTTAAAGAAACGTTCTGGTTCAGTGATTAGAAACTATTTTAACTTCGTTTTTAGCCGTTGAGCTCCATTCACCCCCATTCATTGAGGACTCGCTCGCGGGCGCCCTCTGCTGTTCAGAGGTCCTGTTTCTGATGTAACGGGGGGAATAGGAAGCGGCCAGGCTCCTCATAAACCGGCTCACTTTTATTTTGACACCCACGATCACAGGAAGCTTTTTCATCAGTCGAGAGAATGATTTACATTCAGAGCGTTTTTCGGTGCTAGTAACGATTAATTATCACTTTAATAATGTAATGAAAACGCATTCGGTGTAAGGCTTCGCGTTAGTCTTAGCCCAGGTCGTGACATTCCTTGTCTGAACAGGCCGCTGAGTTTTCATAAGCCGATGTAACGAAAGCAGCTGAGCGACTCAGGCAGCAGGTTAAGTGTCATGTCAGCCGCCGGCTACTTCATGTACTTCGCCTTCGGGAGTAACCTGCTGAAGGAGAGGCTGCAGCTCAAAAACCCCTCCGCACTCTTTCACTGCGTCGGTCGACTCAAGGTGGGTAATGTCACTGATGTTAAATGTCCCGTTCCACCTTAAATGGAGGCGCCAGAACGTACCTGCCGCACCATTTAAGGTGGAACGGGAAATTCGAACAAGACAATTATATCATATAATCAGCCCGTGATCGCTTCATCTACTCTCTTAAAAATGATGATGGTGCTTCAAGGGTTCTTTAGTAAAGAAAATGGTTCTATATAGGACCATGGATACTCAAAGAACCATCTGCATGACTACAGGGTTCTTTGCATCATTAAATAGTTCTTCAGGTTGATGGAGAATGTGTTGTATATGGTTCTGTATAGAACCTTTTTGAAAAGGGTTCTTTTTTTCCAAAAGGTTCTGTATAAAACTGTCTACAGCAGATTCTCCATTAGTCTGAAGAACCCTTTTACCATGCAGAGGTTCTTTGAGTGTTCATAGTTCTATATAAACCCATTTTTCTTTACCAAAGAACCCTTGAAGAACAATCTTTTTCAAGCATGTAGGGGAGAACTGTGAGGTTCTTCAAGGGTTCTTTAGTAGAGACAGTGGTACTATAGAGAACCATATACACTCAAAGAACCACTTACATGCTTAAATGGTTCTTTGTATGGTGAAATTGTTCTTCAGACTAATGGAGAATGTGTTGTTTTTGAAAATGGTTCTTTATAGCACCAAAAAGCTCTTCAGTTGTTACAAGCTTGACATCGTAACAGTAACAGAAGCCTTTTTGGTGCTATATAGAAACATGGAACACATTCTCCACCAATCTGAAGAACCATGTCAGCATGCAAATGGTTCTTTGAGTGTTCATGGTTCTATATAGAACCATTGTCTTTACTAAAGAACCCTTGAAGAATCATCTTTTTTTAAGACCCTAGGCTTTTTTTCATCATCATAGTGTTGTTGCTTTTATATTGAGAGCCTTATCTTTTAAATTTCTATTCTTCTAAAAATTTTATTTGAATTATTTTTGTATTTTCTCATTAGTAAAGCGCTGAATGACCGCAGTTTATGAAAGGTGCTGTATAAATAAACTTGTCTTAAGTTTCAGCTTTTAATCCAAAGTTTCTTGATATCAGAAATTTGAATTACTAAAACGACATTAATACCATAAAAAACACGTATTTCAGTTTTCAGTAGTAAGAATTTGTAGCTTTTCTATTTCATTTAAATGGGAGTAATAATTTTAATTAATTTAAAATTTGACATGTGGAAATTAGTTATGTTCAGATTGATTAGTAACTACTGAAAATGTAATTATTAGATGTGCAAATTTAGTTCTTATACAAAAATATTTGCATATAAAAAGAAATTTTATCAAATTTTTAAAAATGGATTTTTACTAGTAAGAAATTGGTTCAGACATTAAAATCAGAAGTGCCAGAATATCATTTTCACTATTAAGCGTTTGTTCCCCCAGGGGTACGCCCTTAAATTCGGTCTGTGGGGAGATTATGTGGATTGCAGGTGGCACGGTGGAGTGGCCACGATTGAGGAGTGTCCAGATGAGGATGTCTGGGGAGTCGTGTGGAAAATGGGAGAAGACAACCTTACAAGTCTAGATAAGTATGTTAAATTACAAGATTGTCTTTTGGTGTGTTTTGATCAAGCTTGACAATTAAGCTGCCTTATAGGCCGGCATAAAAAAAAAAAATAATTAAGAGCCCATTTCATGAAGAAATCTTCCTCCTTTTTCAAATAAAAGCTTGATTATATAAACACTGTTAGTTTCAAAATGTACCATTCTGTACAGCCTAAACTGCAAAAACAGCCTGTTTTGAAATCACTGTTTTTGTGATGTGTGATGTCATGAAAACCAGCACATCTGTAGTTTAGCCCCGCCCATTTACACTGAAGTAATAGTGTTTCAGCCCTGACTGCCCATAAGCAGGGCATATATACACACACACATTGTTTAATTCTGAGGCATAACGTGGGATAACGTGAGACGTGAGGTTGGAAAATGATCATGTAAAAATTAATTGGTACATAAGACCACATTAACACACTATATAGACAAAAGTATTGGGACAGCCCTCCTAATTATTGAGTTCAGGTGTTGCAGACACACTCATTGCCAAGAGGTGGATGAAATTAAGCATGCAGTCCTGCAGTCTCGATAGTCAAACACTGGCAGTAGAGGGTCGCACTGATGAGCTCAGTGGCTTTAAACATGGCACTGCCACCTCTGCCACAAGTCAATTTGTGAAATTCCTGTCCTGCTAGATCTTCCCCAGACAACCGTAAGTGCTATTATTGTGAAATGGAAGCACCTAGGAACAACAGCAGCTTAGCCACGAAGCGGTAGACCACGCAAACTCACAGTGGGGCCACCGAGGGGGGTGTGTAGTGGTATAAAGCACACCACCACTGGACTCAGAAGCAGTGGAAACGTTTTCTGTGGAGTGATGAATCACACTTCTCTATCTGTCAGTCTGATGGATGAGTCTGGGTTTGGCGAATGCCAGGAGAACGTTACCTGCCTGACTGCACTGTGCCAGCTGTACAGTTTGGTGGAGGAGGGATGATGATATGGGGTTGTTTTTCAGGGGTTGGTCTAGAACCCTTAGTTCCAGTGAAGGGAAATCTTAATGCTTCAGCACCAAGACATTTTGGACAATTCTACGCTTCCAACTTTGTGGAAACAATTTGGGGAAGAACCTTTTCTGTTCCAGCATGACTGTGACCCAGTGCACAAGGCGAGGTCCATAAAGGCATGCCTGGGTGAGTTTGGTGTGGAAGAACTTGACTGGCCCTCACAGAGCCCTGACCTCAACTCCATTGAACACCTTTGGGATGAACTAGAACGGAGATTGTGAGCCAGACCCTCTCATACAACATCAGTGTCTGACCAGTGACTGACAGTGTCAGTCTCACAAGTACTCTTCTGGATGAATGGTCAAAGTCCCACATATACACCCCAAAATCTTGTAGAAAGCTTCCCAGAAGAGTGGAAGCTGTTATAGCTGCAAAGGGGGACCAACTCCATATTAATGCCTATGGATTTAGAATGGGATGTCATAAAATCTCCTGTGGGCGTAATGTGTAGGCGTCCCAACACTTTTGTCCATATAGTGTATACGCAACTGTAGGATATGAGCCCTTTAACTTGTAAATGCTTTAACTGCTTCTTTTGACACATCTGTTCCTTTGCATCTTCAGACAGGAGGAAGTGGATAAGGGTGTCTACAGCCCTTTGGAGGTAAACGTGGAGACAGAAACTGGACTAATTGTCTGTAGAACGTACAAGATGAACAAATTTAGACCTCGCCTTCCTTCCCCACAGTACAAAGAGGTATATTTTACTTCTACGACTACTGATTAGCGAAACAGTTCAGATATCAAATGTCAATAATCATAGTCCCCAACAAAAAACAGGCATAGCAAGGCTTACTCACACATAGGTTAAGGTTGCTCTTAACAGAGGTGCAGCTGCTCAGCAAAATGGGTATAATTAATGAATCTTTTCTGTCCATTAATGATTGACTACACAAGAGCACACGTGTTAAAGTGTAAACTGTAGAGCAGCTGGGTTTAGCATTGTCTTCTAATTATTCAAACGGCCTCCTGCACCACATGAAAGCACTAGCTAATGTTTCCCCATTCAGCCTTGGCAGGTCCATGAAGTTTCCCTAAAGTGTTGTAGTTCAAAGAGCTTGGTGGTACACACTGAGATTTGAATGTGTGTTTAAGATAATCATAAACACCTCAAAGCTTTTGGAACAGTGGGTCCAGATTGATTCAGTTGGTCCGCTGTTCATAGAACAGTACATGACTTAAAGGGGAACGGCTGAGATGAAAGTCATTCAGAGTAGTTTGATGTGAGATGGTGCGGAGTAGTGAAAGCTACAGACTTCGATTTGTTTAGTGGTGGTGAGAGGAACAAGCCAGATTCATGAGTGTCTTAAGAAAATCTTAAATGTACTTAAGTACTTCATACTTAAGAAAAAAGTTTTGAGAAACTGGCATTCTTCAAATAAGTTGCCAGGGTATATTTTGGTTTTTCCATCTGAATTTACATAACCAAATTGTAAGGCAAAATATTCAGTAACTGCATGAAATAAATGTCAATTTTTATTTTATTTTATTTTTTTAAAGCTCCCCTCAGATCAGCAGAACGTGTGTTTTATGATCACACATATTGCTGTATACTTAGAATTTACTGAAAGCCAAAAATCTTAGATGCTCTTTGTATTATTTTATAAAAATAATTTTTACAGAGCAGATCACTGAAGAGACGCCATCTGTTTATAGTTTATAGCCCAGATTTGTGGAAAAATGGGTCGACTTTCAGTAGACCAAAAAAATTGAGTTCAACTTCTTTTATTATAAGGGTTTAAAATTACATCACCCATCTATTTGACTGGAAAGAAGACAGTTACAGCTCTCATATGACACCCACCTTTAGAATGTAGCTTATGACAAATGAAAGTTATGAAGAATATGACGTGCGTTTTGGAACCACCGGTGGTCTCAAGGAGTTGAAAAGGTTAAAACGCTCTTTTTTTTTTTCTTAACTGTTTCTTAAGAATAATTCTAAGAACTAGTGGTTTTCTTGAAAACATTATGTTCTTAAATGTGATCTTAACCTTACAATAGCCTCACACTTGTCTTAGGCTGTAAGAGTTGATGAGGTGAGTGTCTAAACTGACGAAAACACTGACGCTGCATCTACTACTCCCCATCCTCGTCTCTTGCTTTCCTCTATTACCCCGCAATTATCATATTTTCAGAGGAGGTTTTTTTTCCTGTTGGCTGTTTCTTCCTCCATCACCTCCAGTTCTTGTTTGCAAAAGTTTTTAAACGCTTGGTTTGATGTATTTCCTCCACTTTGCTCCTCTGAGTGGATTAAGTAACGGAAATAACAGTTAATACAAATTTAAAATGTATCTCACAGCATTTATGGTAAGTTGTAAAATGCAACACAGCCTACATAAGAAAACAATGAGGGTTTTCTTACAAAAATCTTAGAGAACTAATTAAGATTATCTTAAGAGAATATTTGAGAAATTCCTAATTTTTTTTTCAAGAATTGCGTTTAAGAACATTCTTACGAACTTTAGTGTTTGTCTTATGAATCTTTGCAAGTTTTTTCTTAAGAAAGCTTTCATGCCATTTTATTTATTATCCGAAAATGATTAGTGGACCTAAATGTGTCTTCTGAGTTTTCATATGCTGATGATAGAAGAATAGTGGTTATTCTGAATGTTTCTCTGGGGACTGTTTTACCTCACAACACCCCACATGTACCCCTCCACCATGAATGGGCTACAAGCTCATCTCAAAGCTCATATAAAACTTCAGTGTATTCGTAACCATTTCATACTAACTATGAAGTATTAAATTGCTGCTGTCGGAAGAAAACCTTGCATCTCCATTTTTAATGTTTTTAGTTTTTGAAATAATATGAAAATACCTGCTGGCCTTTACATTGTGTGTGAATTTCATGATGAATGGACCAAAAGAAATGACCCAAAATTACTTGGAAAAATGTCTGGTTCCATTGACTTACATTAAAAGTTAAGGTATGTTTTTTCCTTCTCCTGTAAAGTTACTATTTTGGAGATACAAGGTTTTCTGGTTTTCTTCTGACAACAGGATTTAATGCTTCAGACGTCTGGTTCCCATCATCACTGCTGTGATGTAAATTTTGTTTTTGTTTAAAACAAAACACTTTGAATGACTTTGTTCCCATCTCAATGATTGAATTACATCTACTGTTTTAACTTAATTAAACAGTGTCTCCCTTTCTGCCCTCCCACAGGTTGTATGTCTAGGAGCCCAACAGAACGGACTACCTCAAGAGTACATCGATATGCTGCAGGCAGTGGAGACCAACAATTATGCTGGACCCACCATATTAGATGAGATTAAAGATTTTAAGAAATGATCGTGTGGGGGGAAAATTCACAATGCAAAAATAAAAGCTTCCGCAGAGCCACTGGTCCGAGTAAATCATGATGCATGGTGATGCTGAAAGATGGCCAGTGCTTTTGTGTGATTCTTGATATAAAAGGGTTTGATGAAACCAAATACAGATTTACAGTAAAGATATTTCAAACTTTGATTATTTCATTTTCAAAATTGAACATAAGTTAGATGTAATATTTTTAATTTGATTATTTTTACATGTACATGGAGGAATTCCATAAAGAAGTAGCAAATAATTAACAAAAATATCTAAATTAGATACTCATATATATGTATATATATACACACACACATACATACATACACGTGAGTGTGTGTATGTATTTTTTTTATTAAAGTTATCAAGGTGGATTTTACTCACAATAACTCTATTGTACATATGGGCAAGTGTTTGACTGGAACTACTATTAAAATTATATGGAAACATTTTAAAAAGTGTTTTCTTCCAAGAAATACAGTACAACAGAACAGTTCAATGAAATTCTGAGTAATTGTGATAAGCCAAACTACAGTACACCCCTTATGTAAGGCTGTGCCATTCTTATACTACGTGTGCAATCAAAACTGTGACTGCTGTAATTACTTAACTCATAATTCTACAACTTGTGAGGACATTGAAGATGCGTCAAAACCACTAGCAACAACAGAACAGTGGAACAAATTTTACATTTACCTTGATCTTCGTTCCTAACCTCTTAGAAAACAAATGCTTTAGTAAAATATATCATTTCTGACTATTGTTTGTGATAAACGTAGCAGCACATTTTGACAAAACGGCACTTGATTCTTTTAGCACCCTGCTATGTGATCTCTACGCTAGAAAGGGAAACGAATGACAACGGACCATTTCTTTGAAATGGAGAGGCTGAGGGAAAAGAAGATCAATTAGTGGCTACTCCAAAATTTCTATTTACAGACAGAGAAATCATCCTCCAGCTTATCCCAAAAATGGCCATAATCACAATCATCATTCTTCATGTTCAGTCATGCACTTGATGACTGAAACGTCCTTCTTCCCCCAAGCAGGGTTAGATAAGTCCAGAAAGGAAGAAGGCTGTCCAGTGCAGATAGGGTTTTGAAGGCTACAACCTGAAACCTGATGCCCAGATGGGTCTGACACGCTGGTTGGGCTTGTGGACACTTTGTCCTTTGGTGTGTTAAAATGGAGAAGAACCAAAGGGTACGTTACACACGCAGGCGGGATCCCTGAGGCTTTGCTTTTAACTGTCTTTTGGCACAGGCCTTAGCTGGTAACAGGTGAGCCTTATAAATCAGTGTCCAAATCCTGGATCACAGCTTCTGCAGTCCAATTTCTGAATGTCTTCTTATAAGCTACTCCTCAGTGAAGACGTTAGGGAACCTAAAAACAAGATACATGTATGGTCATATTGTTGGCCCAGTAAGTGCACAATTATTACATAACTCACCTGAGCGCAGTTATTTGTGCCGATTGCAATCATTTAAGCTGACTGCAATAATTTTTGACAGTTGTTAACGTTGACAGTTGGATGAGTTGGATCGAGCAAATGCTTACAAATAAAAGAAAGCAGAGAACACATTTGAGACATGGGTCTTGCTAAAACAGGTTTAACTAGAAGTGAGAATTTGTCAACAGATTACATCGGCTTGACAAAGCCGTTACTAGGAAATTGCAGGTGGTTGCCAAGGTGTTGCTTGGCCATATGTCTATGAGGGGCAGTGTGAGAGATGCCCTGTGTGACATTGTGTGTGGCAGTTCAATTTCTCAACTCTCAACAATTCTCCCTTCATTTCCTATGGAGGAAAAAATGTCTGAATGAATGCTGGACAAACAAAAGAAAAAACAAAAAAACAAAAACAACAACAACATATGTGCGATTGGTCCCAAAAGCACTAGAACATTATTCCTGCATAGGCTCTACGCTCCGGCAAAGTTTCATGGTTCTAGCGTAAACTGTGACCAGTAAAAAAAATAAGCACATAATATTAAAAATCAAGAACATTTGGCTTTGTCAGTGTTGCTGTAGCACCAATAGAGGGCAGCAGTGAGTAATGTTTATTTGAGATCACGCTGTTTCTGTCTTTAGTTGGGAGCTATTAAGTATCGACAGTAGCGGTGGGCGATATGGCAACAACATATGATACTTCAAGACATTTTCACGATATACAATATGTAGCACGATTTCGTTTTTCTGAGGTTTGGTAAGATAGAACAGACAAAAAAAGCCTCATTAGTGCTCATTAAAAATGCTATTAAAACTGAATGGGTCTTTAATTCAACATTTCACATACTGCGCTGCTCTAAATCCAACTAAAGATGAAATATGGTGTCTTTTTAATGAAGCAAAGTTCTCTTCATTTTATTCTCACCTTTTCTTTTAAGATCACCTGTTAAAACACGTAGTATTTTCTTATCCTTACAACAGCCTCACTCTTGTCTTCAAGGGTCCTTTAGTAAAGGCAATGGCTATATGTAGAACCGTGACATCTCAAAGAACCATTTGAATGCATACATTGGTCTTTGCATGGTTAAAAGGTTCTTCTCTATAATGGAAAATCTGTTGTTTATGATTCTTTAAATAACTTTTTAAAAATGGTTCTGCAATTGTTCCAACATTATAGAACCCTGGTACTAAATATAACTCTTTGTACAAAGGTTTAAAATCAAGTATTTAAAAATGTATTTATCGACGTAACATTATATTTTGTTACTAAAATATTTTTAAAAATATATATATAGATTTAATAAGAACTGAATAAGTTATATAGAATAAATAGATTTGTTCTCTCACTGAGTGATGAGGGGGTGGGGAAGGGTAACTTTCTTGCAGGCCAAATTAAACATTCTCATGGGTCAACTCTGGCCTGCAGGTCACACTTTGGGTAGGCCTGTCTGACAGTTACCTAAAACTATAACTTCCGAATGAGTTTCATAAAAACAATTATTAAACTAGACCAAGGAGAATTTTTGTAGCCTCTACAATCACTTCTAGTTCTTGTTTGCAAATATATTTTGAATGTAAATTTGAAATTTTGTTTTACATTCTTTTGCGTCTGTCCAAACGCAAATGACATTTAATTCAAATTACACATATATAGATAGATAAAGTAACAAAAAATAAAGTATTATCTAATCTAATCTAAAATCTTCTTAGCACTTGTCTTTAGACCCTTTATAAGTTTTTTCTTAGAAAAGCTTTTAATGAATTCGGCCCCTATATCATACGCTCGGTGTTGGAACTATACTTGGGGAGTGCTGTACCACAAATGAACTCCACCAGCTTGACTATGTGGTCATTAAAAAAATCTGAATCTTATAAAAAATGATGAAAATAAATTAGAGGTATAAAATACCTGTGCAATAATGGCAGTGGTTTAATCAGTGGGGTGCTCTGGGCAAGATCTGTTCACCTCAAACCATTCATCAATACACCTGCAGGAAGTAAATATGGATTAGTAACCAGAGTCGTGCTTGTTTGCATGAAGTGTATGCTGGCCTGTCTTTTCTTTACCCTTTGTGGTAGATGCAGAGGCAGGGCAGTCTGGCAATGGTGTCCCCCTGCAACAGGTCATCCAAGCATATTGCACACTCCCCAGAGTCCTTTGTCAAAACGTCCTCTAAAGCCATCAAAGTAGAGGAGTTACAGGGTTGCAATATCACAACAGAAGAACAGTGCAAACCCAAGCCAGATGAGGGCACTGTTGCAAATTAAAGGGCCCATGTCCTGTATATTTCCTGCATTGTACTTCTGCCCCCTGAAGTCCACTTATAACATTTACGTACCAAATTCATTCGTTCATTTGTTCATATCTTTTATTTATCCCTTAGAATTAAACAAGCAGTTTGTTACTGTACCTTTAAGACTGATATGTAAATGAACTCTATTCTGATTGGCTACACTGAGTGCTGCCTCATTGAAAAAGCAGCCTGGGCTGAAACACTCCTGAACTCCTAATTTCAGTGTGAACTGGATGGGGCTAAACTGCTGTACACCGAATAGGTGGATGTACGTGAACTAGATTCTGTGACATTACAGGCACAGTGAATTCAAAATGGAACCATCTGCATGCTTGATGGCTCTTCAAGGGTTCTTTAGTAAGGAAAATGGTTCTATATAGAACCAGGAAAACTCTCAGAATCATTAAACCTTAACAGGTTCTCTGCATTGTGAAATAATTCTTCAGATTGATGGAAAAATGATTTATATGGTTCTATACAGTACCTGTTTGAAAAGGGGTCTCTATAGCACCAAGAAGGGTTCATCTATTTTTACGATATCAAGCTTGTAACCCTTTTGGATACAGAACCATTTTCGACAGTACAATACACTACATTTGTGATATTAATGGGGAATATCAATTCAATTACAAGCACAATGAATTCAAAATGGGTTATTTAACTTCCATATATGGACTGTATGGACTTGGAAAAGAACAGTATGTCTCATTTTGAAAAAGAAAGTTTACATTATATGGGCCTTTCAAAACACTGGCAGTCAGAACAAAATTGCTCATATGCACGTATGTCATACACTAAAGTTCAGCAACTGTTTTGACGTGTTCATCCTGTCTCTTCACTTGAAGGAAAACAAATTATGTTCAGACACGATTTAAACCCCATTTAGATCTTGTGTAGGGCTATGTTCTTCACTGCTGTCCACAAGGCCTGAGCAATATCTAAATCTAATCCGGATGATATTTTATTATTTTACTATTATTATAAAAAATGTATATAGAAAAATATACTTTACTACATATTATATTACATTACTATATACACATTTACATGCTAAAAGCGCCCTTTGCTATTACAATTACACTGCCCTACTGCCCAGGTCCACTGTCCCCAGATGGTTGGGCAATAGGCCCTTCTTATATTTCCCATCACAGCCCCAAAATATGTCAATGGGTCTTGAACTGTGCCTGAACTTCACTTAAGGAACTGTGTCACATTCTGCCTTGTTGGCATTTCTCTTTTGTTGTAGGTTTTCTGTTTTTGATATAATTTGAAAATGCCTGTTGCTCTTTACATTTTGTGTAAATTTCATGATGAATGGACTAAAAGAAACAGCCTTGGCAA